GGGGGGGAGAACAAGGGAATCTGTGGCTGATATGTAAAATTAAATTAAATTATAAAATAAAATAAAATAAAATAAGAAATAGAAACAATATTAGGACTTACTTGATAATGGCTGGAGAGTACATGAAAGAATACATGTGGTGTATATACACAAGTGCCCAGTACTTTTCAGTTCATTGTACCCCCATTGACTCAGTAATTTTCTTTATGGCATCCCTAAGTGAAAAGAACTATGTTGTATTTGTACTTATTGAGCAATTAGGTGAAAAATGGCAACAGTACCAGTTTATGAGCTGTATGTTTCCCTCAAAAATTTAAAATATCTTACAATGACCTTGTGAGTTGGCTATGTCATCCTGGGGTATGTTGTTGACCAGTTTAGGAATAAAACATCTCTGAGAATGTATTTATCATTAATTACAGGCTGTTTTTTTATTGAGCGATGTCGGTTATTATCATTAGAGAGGGAGGTTCGTTGGAAGAGTAGTTTCTACATGGACAATCAAGAAAACATCATACCTAAGGAAGTGGTGTTTTCTAGGTCTACTCTCCCCGCCCCACTGTCACTCATTGATCATGCCATGGCGTTCAAAGAGATTTCATGTGCTAGATGGGCATAGTTTCTTCTGCTGGGCCTGTAATTTCAGCTACTTGGGAGGCTGAGGCAGGAGGATCTCACTTATATTTATTATATATTACATTCAATTTATATATTCAATATTATACATTATTATTCAAGTGTTGCCTGGGCTACCGGCCGAGTTCAGAGCCACCCTGGGCAACTTCGACTCTGTTTTAAAACAAAAAGTAAAAAGAGGACTAGAGATGTATCTTAGGGGTAGAGTGCTTGCTTGGTGTCTCTGAGGCTACGAGTTCCATCTTCAGTACTACAAAACAAAAACCAAGAATGCAAGGTGTTCTTCAGTCTCTCTTAGGCTCTTCTATCATTTTCCTTGGCTTTCCCCCTCTCCCTTTCTCCATGCCCTCCTTCTTACTCAGTGTCCAAATCCTGGCTCTTACCCAAGCCCTCTCACAGTGAGGGGAGACTGGCTACCTAACTCAGGAAGAAGGATTGGTCTGACTGTTTTGATTCTCCATTTGGCCTGTGAGCCAGTCAGAACATGGGGTGCTGGTAGCTCATTCCCGCATACATCCTTCCCTTAAGAAACAGGAGCAATCGGTTTAAACTGAGGCTGCCGAAGGTGACCTGAGAAGTCTACGAGAGTAAATCTTTGAAGTTGAGGTTGGTAGAAGATCTCTGAGTTTTTCCTAGAGGCGAGAGCCGCCTTCAGTTCTATTTGGTTTTTCAGATTCTCTGAAGGGAGATCTGATGTTGGAGTAATTAAGGAGGAATGAAATAGAAGACCCATGCGTGCACTGTTGACTCTGGGCCTCCTTGGTGCTGGCCGGCAGAGGTCGGGAGCGGCTGGCTGGCTGTTAGCCCCGGCCTGCAGCGTTTGCTTTGGCCATTGGGGGAAAGAGCACTTTGTGGAAAGCCAGCCTTCCCGGCCAAGCGCCTATTTTCGTCCTGAATCTGTTGAGTCCAGCCTGAAGGTTGGCTCCAGGATCAACAGAGGCCATGGAAAATGGGACTGGATGCCTGGCAGACATCACTGTGGGCTTTGTCTTCCTGACCAGGTTAGTTAGCCCTGAGCTCATGAAGGCAGGCACAATGGGGAGCTAAGGACCTTGTAACATCAGTACCAGAAAGAACTAGCTTGTTTGCATGGTCACTGTATCTCAGGCCGGGCCTCACTTCTTTCCCAGCTGTCCGGTCTAGTAAGGTGGATGTGGAGGAAGGGCTGACAGAGTCTCCAAAGTATTCGAGGTCTCTTAAGTGAAAGACCACCAAACTATAGGGTCAGTTGTTTTTCCCAACTAAAAAGGCAGGCCTCATGAGATTTAGCACACTCATTGTCTAAGGAGCTAGGCAGTGTGCATGTTATGGTTTTGAGAGCTGCCGGGTTTCTATGTGCCTATTCAACTCTACCTTGGTGACAGGGAAGCAGCCCTATGTGTGTGTAAATAAAAGAGCATGCCACCCTCCCTTTGCTTTACAGAAAGCTATTTAAAATGTCAAAAACCATTCTTAGCTCGTATTCTGCCTGAAAGTAGTCGGCAGGTTGGATGTGGCCTGTGAGTCCTAGTTTGCCTTTAGCAACCACTGCTCTAGAAGATAGAACGCAGACCTCGGGGCCAAAATGGAGATGTTTGCTAGAATGAAAAAAGGATCACCAGAGTTCTAGGAAAATGGGATACGTTTCCCAGGAAGTTACAACAGCTGCCTTCAAAAAGATCTAGGAGATGTTCAAGAGGCACTGGTCAGGGATGTCATAGGAAGACTCAAAGGCTTGACCAGGGATTGGTTTGGATTCTTTAAAGGCTACAGTATGGTTGCTGTGTAACGATATTTCCACTTCTGTGCAGCCATCATTTCCCACCCACTCACTGTCTACATCTAAACGTGCTAAGTCTTTGTACAGGATCCATTCCTCCTTGACGAGCATTTGTTGATAATCGCCTCAACTTGCTCCTTACTTTTCATACATCTTATTTTCCTTTCAGAAACTAAGGGGTTAATGTCAAAAGGGCAAGGTTCGCTGGGCAGCTGCTGCACTGTTGCCTAGCAACCCTCAAGGGGCAGCTCAGAATTTCTGCAGAAGCTTTTGTGGAAAGATGGTCTGATCCAACCATCAGGGCAGAGTAAAGAGCAAAGGAGATAATAGATGTCGAACCCATTGTAAATCACGAAATAGGATTTGACTCTGCCTCCCAGAATATTGAATCTTCTTTTATGTCACTAGGGGGAATTAAATTTGCTTTAAGAGATTTCAGCTCTTTCCTGCTCCCCTCCTTTCCCCAGTGGTTTGGTCCTATTTCTCAGAACAGCATCCTTGCCACTAAACCTCCAGAGTGGCCTGCTCCTGTATCACAGATTATTAGGCCCTCTATGCTTTTAGCCTTCCCTCTAGTTATCTAGCTCATAACCTAGAGTGGTTTGATGGTGTCTTGCACTAAAGCATCCCCATTCAGTTCCCTGTACATGGCAGTGGTTTGTTCCTATCTGCTGAGCATCAGCATCTTTCCCCTCCTTTCTCACAGGAATGATTAGATACTGCGTCATTGAGCATCAGGCGTTTAGCCCCTCCCCCGGGGTCCACAGTGGTTTGATCCTACCTCATGGACTATTAGGTTCTTTCTGATTCCCCCTCCAGCGTCACCATTACTAATGGTATGGTCCTCAGCATCAGGTCCTTTTTGTCCCCCACTGGTCTTCTGAGCAGATTTGACGCAGTTTCATCTCCTTCCTGATGCATCCTGAGCCCCTCAGTGCCTAGCTCCTGCGTAAGCGCTTTAATCTGGACCAAGTGGATTGAAAATGGCCAGAAATTGATCTTGATCACTTTAGATATTGTATGACAAAGGAAAAAAATCATTTCTGTCCAGTTAAAATCCATTTGAGCCAGTTTAAGCCATTTGTGTAGAGCTGGAGCCTGAGGTCGGCAAACTCAGGAAGATGGCTGAAGACTATGCTGACTCAAGCCCAGACAAGGATCCAGGTATTTATAAAAGTTGAAAGTAATCTGGGGGAAAGAAAAGAGAACAGACAAGGAGACAGGAAAATAGAGGAAGTAGGCTTGATAGAGGGAAGGCTCAGAGGAGGTTAGTATAACCTGAAGTGATTTTATATAGATATATAGATATATATCTTTTTATTTTATATAGACGTATATTTATCTTTAGAGGTTGAAAGGTCATTTCTAGGAGGCAATGCAGGGTTTGGGGGCCCTAAATTCAGGATCTGGGAGGCAGTCTGGATGCTGACGTCATCTGGCAGGCTGGAGCTGAGACTGGGTGGTTTGTGGTGCAGTGATGATGCTTTGCAGGCCAGCTCCTAGGGCCATTCTTTGTATGTGACTCACCTCAGGCTATTTGATTGATAGTCCCACTCCGTAAACGACAACCTTTTCACCCCTTTAACTGAGCTAGCCATTTAAATTAGGAGGGAGTGAGCAATTTTGAAGAAATAGCTAATTACAATAAGTAAGACAAGGTATGAATGAGTGGGTTGATGAGAACTGAGTTGGGGCATTTGCTTCCTGATTATTTTTTTGCAAGGTGGTTGAGGAAGTGGCAGCAGCTTGAGAATAGTACCTCATTTCTCATCCTTAGCATGGGCTCTCCTCAGGGCTGTGGCTTTATGTAGAAACTGGACTGTGTGGTCTGGATTTCTGTCATGTGAGTGTGTTCCTGTCGTTTGCGGGGACTGCAGTGGAAAAGATGGGGCTGAAACATGGAGGATGAAAACAATGACATTTGCACAGACTGCGGCATTTCTGATGCAGTGGGACAGTGGGCAGGCCCCGTGACTTGATGACGATGACGTGTGATGTACTGCTGCAAGATGGAGGGTGGGGCCAGAGCTGGGTGGTGCAGCTGGCAGGGGGGTGCATGCGGTTCTGCGGCTCCCTACCTCTAAGGAGAAAAAAGCTTTTCTAGAATGATCTAGAAACTTGGATGCCTAGAGGAAAAGGTGATATTTAAAAAAAAAAAATTTTTTTTTTTGAGAATTTGTTAGGATTCTGTGTGTTTAAGATGGCTTCAGTTAGCCACTGCCCATTTCTCCAAAGGGAGGATGGCGGCCATTTTACTGAAGGCAGTTGAATGGCGTTTTAGGATTGAGACAGAAAGAATTAGGTTTAGAGTCATATAAGCCATCTCTGTTATTTGCTGTGTGGACTCTGAGCAAATTAACCTTTTAGAGAATTATGCTTATTTCTAAAATACAGCTAATATCTTCCTTAAAAGATAGAAACCTTAGAGTTTAATGCCTTTTGGGGCAAAGTAGCTGACCTTTAACATTTTTGTTTTATTAAACTGGATTGTGTGGCAGGGATTATTTTTGTGTATGTGTGTGTATAGTTTAGATCGATAAAGACAATTTCTTTCTAAATTTTTTTAGCAATGGTTTTCCACAAATGAAGCCACTGAACTATTTTGAGGATCAAAGAAAAAATTATTCACTGGAGAATTTTATAAACTATAAAGTGTACATGTAAATATTTGTTGTTGTTATAATAATATGCTGATTATTACCCTAGCACTACTAAAGAAACCTAGTATAAAATGTCTTTTGGTGTTGCACACTCACAGGTTTCTCCGATGGCAGATTCACTTTTTTCTCGACTTCACCCTGGACCTGTGGTGACTGGAAGCCTTGAGATGTGGTACGCAGCATCATAAGCCACAGGGAGCCAAGATGGGAGAGGCAGGAGTTGGGGGTGGGGGTGGGGATCATGTCAGAGATGTGGGGGTGAGCAGGATGGGGTATCACAATCTTCCCTTTAGCCATAAAAATGTGGGAACTACCTGATTTTAAGACCAGCCTTGGTCACCTTGCCTGGATTCTATTACTGGCCCTGTAAAAAGCAGGATCAGGTAAAGGAGCAGCTGGAAGTGTGACCATGTGGGCTGTAGATAACATGGTATAGTGTTGGCCACAATATTCCTATTAGGGAACTATGCCATGTAGTCAGAATCGGGAGCCAGGAGATACAACCTTTTTTGATGAAATCAATGAATTAATTGATGATTACAGTGTGTCTGTAGGGCAGAGAAGAGCATGACAAAGCTTTTTGTTGTGGTGCTCTGTGAACAAGATGGAGGAACTATGAGTCAGCATTCCTCTTCTAGCTAGATTCTGAATGTGTTTTTTAAAGGTATCAAACATGCTGGATACTTAACATACATTGCTTATTTAATTCCCAGAGCCACCCATGCACATGAAGAAACCATTCACAAAGGATATCATTTATTGTCTGAATTTTTCCTGGATGAGGAATTCTCACTCAGTGTGGAGGATGAGGACCCCATTCTCTTTGGGATTAGCAGCAGCACCTGGAGAAACACCTTTCTCCCAGTTCAGCTTTCTTCTCAGGAGACCTGTCCCTCCCTGAGTCTCTAAGATGCTATGTGAGCCACTGTGATGACGAAAATGAATGGTCTCTCAGGCACATCAAGTTAGGAAAAATATTGAGCATCACCATTATAGAGAGTTCCTGGGTAGAAGGTTGCAGGGCTCTACCTGGCTCTGGCTTGGCTTCAGCCTTTTGGTTCATGGCTTGGGTGGAGCTGTAGAATATCACACTTAGGAGGTGGGAAGACAGACCTGGAATGCAAGGAAAAAGTAATATGCTGGATGACAGAACTAGAAATCTATGAAGAATTTACTAGACCACAAAGATAATCCAACAATAACAAAATAAAGTTGATAAGAGCAAGTGGGACATTTTGTGCTTGTTTTTATAAAACAGACAAAATTCTTTTAAGAAATTACAGTTCTAACAGATGAAGCTATGTTTAAGGTAGAAAAATTAATGCAAACTCGGGTTTTATTAATTATTGGATAGGCTCTAAAATTGCAGGAGTTGATTGTTTTCTTCTGACCAGCATTTGTAGAACCATATCTCAAGTACTGTGCTTGGTTATATATTTCTTTAAAAGGGGGATGAGACAAAGGGGAGATTAAGGAAAGAAGCCTAGAAAGTGAATAGGACATGATTGTTGCCTTCTGACATCGTTAGACTTGTCATGACTAAGAGGATTTGATCTGCACAATTTGGCCCCTAGAGGCAGAATGAGAGGGACTGGGTGGGGTCTGCTGCAGAGCTGCCTAGAGGGCCTCAGTGGGAAGGAACCTTGCTCCCTGTGAAAGGAAGCAGAAGCCACCTGATTTTTCTAGTGACTGAGCTGGGAGTCCCCAGATGTAGCCTTAGTTCCTTGAGTATTCTTTGGCTAGTGGATGATGGGGCAATTATCAGAATGGAAGGACACAGAAGGGGGACCTTGATAAGAACTAGTGAATGCAAGGCAGAGTTGGCATTGGCTAGCCTGGCTCAGCCAAAAATGTAAAATTTCACAACAGTTAGGTAAATTATATATTTCTAGCCCTCCCTTTTTTGACACATTGTCTAAAAACTTAGACTTGTTTTGTAGCCAAGGATGACATTGAACTTCTCATCTTCCTACCTCTGCTCCTAAGTGCTGGGATCATAGGTGTGTGCCAGTTCTAGACTTGGTGCATACTAAGCAAGCATCCTACCAGTTGAACTACATCCTTAGCCTTATATGTTATCCCCCTCCCCCTTTTCTTCTTTTCACAGATGAGAAAACTGAGGCTCAGAGAAGTCCCATGACTTGTCCAAGGCCATGAAGCTAGTAAGTGACCCATGGGCTCTTGGGGTATGGGGAGAGGTACTGTATGTGCCTCAGGGTTTTCATTCTTACCTGATCCCTTCTCCAGTTGAGTAACCCACTGGTATTTCCAGAGGCGCATCAGGACTGTGCACAACTACGTCATGTTGGGCTGGGTGCCTGGAGCTGATGAGAGTATTGTGAAGATATATGATCAGCCTGCAGCCCAGCGGGTCCTGGAGGATGAGGTTGGAACACAGCTGAGCTATTACACAGGCCAAATGGCATGAGCACTTATTCATAATGTCTGTACCTTCCCCAGAACATTGTCCGCTATAGACACTTGGAAGGACCCGTTTATAAGAAGACATGGAGATCTTCCCTTTAATGATCAGGAAAGTGTGGTCTAAAGAGGGGCAGGGACCTCTCCAAGTTTTTTTACTTAATGATTTTGTCCCTGATAGTGCCAGAAATTAATTTTTAATATAATCTAGAAAATTTAGGTTTCAAAGCACATTCATTTTTGAGGCAAGACCAAATCCCCAGTGAAAATGGCTACAAGATAGGTCTGTAGGGTTGTGTTTTCATTTCTTCCTGATTATTATATAAACTAACATCATGGAAATGTAAAGGTATACACTCAGAGTCAGGCAGACTGGGACTAATTCCCTTCCTGGAGCCCAGAAGGAAATATGCTAAAAAAATTGTTTTGAGCCTCTGGTTCTTTTTTTTAATATTTTATTTTATAATTAACTTAATTTCACATATCAGCCACAGATTCCCCCATCCTCCCTCCTCCCCCCTCCAGACCTCCCCCCCAATCTACCCCCATTCCTACCTCCTCCAAGGCAAGGTCTCCCCTGGGGAGTCAGTCCAGCCTGGTAGATTCAGTCAAGGCAGGTCCAATCCCCTCCTCCCTACACCAAGGCTGAGCAAAGTGTCCCAGCATAGGCCCCAGGCTCCAAAAAGCCAGCTCATGCACCAAGGACAGGTCCCAGCTCCACTGCCTGGGGGCCTCCCAAACAGTTGCTAGAGAGGTCCCCAGAAATCCACAAAGATACCTCCACTGTAGACTACTGGCAATGGTCAAGAGAGTGCCTGAGCTGACCTGCTCTGGTGATTGGATGGCTGAACACCCTGGCTGTCATGATAGAACTCTCATCCAGTGTCTGATGGATGCAGATGCAAAGATCCACGGCCGAGCCCCAGGTGGAACTCCAGGAGTCCAATCGGCAAGAGGGAGGAGGGACTGTATGAGTGAGAGATATTAAGACCATGATTGGAAAAAGCACAGGGACAAATAGCCAAACTAGTGGAAACACTTGAACTGTGAACCAGTGGCTGAGGAGCCCCCATGGAACTGGACCAGGACCTCAACACAAGTGAGCCTCTGGTTCTTTACTTGTGAAAATAGGACCAATAATTTGATTCTAGTCCTGTGGAGTTGGAGGTGCCTGAGGAAGTCTGGATTGAAGGAATCCGGGGAGGGCTAAAGCTCAGAGGAGTGCCCCCTTCTGGATAAACAGATTTGAGAATTACTAGTCACATGTGTGGATGGCCTTACCTGGGCAGAAGGGTCTCTTCCACATGATGGCTATTCAACCACATTTTTCCAGTCCTCTGGGCTTGATAGCTCTAGAGATTCGCCTCTAGATTCAACAATTCTGCATTTGTCTTGCATTCCAGCCTCCTTATTAGCTCATTTGTCCCTTTGAGGACACACTGTATTTTGTTTTTGTCACTCTTGGTGTATGGTACTCTAAAGCTAAACCCAGCACTCCTGAAATGGTGTGGAGTAAAAGGAAAACCACCTCCTTCATTCTGGACACTATCCTTTTATTGGTGTATCCTAAGGATTCATTAATTCATTTTTGGTATTTTTGGCTCAACACTGCCATATGTATATATGTATTAGGGCTAAATTCCCTAAGTGTTTTAGCAGGCATACCTGATAAACTACACTATCTTCCTGAGTCATTATGATATGCTGATTATTTGTGGCGGTGACACTCATGAGCTTCCCCTGGGAATCTTTTTTTTTTTTTTTTTTTTAAAAAAGCCCAATTCTGAGCTAATCTGTGTCTCATTTATTGTAGAAAGGTTAGAATAAAAGTCCCCTCTCCTTAACCAAGTGGTGGTTTTATCCCAGCACTTGGGAGGCAGAGACAGGTGGATCTCAGTGAGTTCAAGGCCAGCCTGGTCTACAAAGCAAGTTTTAGGATAGACAGGAATGTTACACAGAGAAACCATATCTCAAAAAACCAACCCCAATCCCTTTGAGTCTGTTTTTTTTTCTATATAGCTCAGGCTGGCCTTGAATTTGCTATATAGCCCAGGCTGGTCTCTAATTTGTGATCTTCCTTATAGCCCAGTGGGCCTCTAACTTGTAATCCTCCTGCCTTAGCCTCCTGAGTTCTGGGATTACAGGTGTGTGGCATCATCCTTGGCTATCAATTTTGTTTTAGGACTCTTTACATACACTATTTTTTTTCAGAACCGGTGATCCAACCAAGATTCCCATGTCTTCTATGCAAGTGCTACCACTGCGCCACACCTCTACCTCTTTTGATTTGGGTTTTGAGAGAGGGTCTCATTAAATTACCTTATCTGTCCTGGTGTCAAACTTTCAACCCTCAGTCTCAGCAGTACCTGGAAATATAGATGTGTGTACACATACTCAGGTTGTTTGTACACTCTTAAATGATTTATGGGATCCTTGGACATTTTGTTTATGTATGCTATGTCTATTGATATTTAGCATGTTAGAACTGAAAACAGAATTCAAAAACCTAGTAATTCAAGAAGAGCATCAATAAATTCAAAACAGTTCACAAAACTTATTTTTGATTGGAAACAATTAATAATTTCCAAATAAAACATCTATGAGTTTATTTTTTTTTGGTAACTGTATATTGGTGAAATTATTATGGCCACTCCACATAGTTAAAAGGGAGGTTTATTTTGTGGGGTAACTTACAAGTGAAGGGATAGTTTACAGGGTCTGGGAAAGGTGTAGCGCAGTCCAGCGGTGTTCTCTGGAGAACTCTGCTTAGTCTACCTCCAGCATCCAGGGTCCAGGAACCAAGAAAGCCGGCCCATCTGCATCTGGGGTCTTCAGGGTCCTCTCTCGGCTCCGCCTTGTAGGCGTGACAGTTACTGAAGCCTCAATGGGGGTTGGAACTTCCAGATCAAAGCTGGAATGGCTACCCACTACAACTATACTTCGTGTCTTCCTCATTCAGTCTTTTGCCATATCACATAGAGGCATTGGATCCCCTGAATTCTGAGTTGCAGGCAGTTGAGAGCTGCCTTATGTGGGTGATGGGAACTGAACTTAAATGCTCTGCAAGAGCAGCAAGTGCTCTTAATCTCTGAGCCATCTATCTAGTCCTCTCACAATTTCTTAATGTTAGGTAATTTTGACTCATGAGTTCCTCTGGGAGGGTTTTGGGACCCTCAGAGGTCCCTGAGAAATATAAGATTTTCAAAAATAAGTGATGCTGCATGAGACATGGATGCGCTTTAGCACTGGCCATTTTCTTATTAAAATAAACCTTTTTTTTTTTTACACAAAAGGGCAAATACTGTAAGATGCTACTGCTGTAGGTTACTTAGGATATGGAGATTCAAGAGACAGAGTAGAATAGTGGTTAATGCTGGTGAGGTAGAAGAGAGGATGGGAGTTCCTGTGAAATGGGTACAAAGTTTCAACTTTGGGAAGAAAGCTGAGAAAGTTCTGGAGATGAACAGCTGCAAACAGTGGGAATGTGGTAAATGCCACTGAACTGTGTGATTAAAAAAGATTGAATGGTAAACTTCATGTTCTATATAGTTTAACATGATTTAGAAATACAGATTCCAGACACCCAGTGACCCATATTCTGACTCAACAGGTTCACCGAGAGGCACAGAATGAGCTCTAGAAGCACTTCAGAGAATACCATTTTGTGGCTTGGAGAGATCAGCACCCTCACTACTTAAGTGGCCTAAGAGCCAGCACCTTCATGGAATGGTGAAGGTAAGGCCATTCTTCCCTTCTTTTCTATTTTCTGGCAATTGCTTATGTATTCCAGAACTGGCCTGCCTGTGTTCGGAGGAGCCTGCACCGGGAACTGGAATGTCACAGTGCTCATGATGGGGTCTTTATGACCTATGTTTGGTACCTGTCCAAATGATTTCACACATCATTCATAAAGTGAAGTTTCAGGTGTATTATTAAAGAGAATTTTTAGAATAAAATATGTACATATTTGTACACACGTGTACATCAAAATGAAGGTGACTATATTATTTCAGGTTTCGATAAACTAAATATATGAAATAACAAAAGGGAAGAGTTATATGCTTACATAATTAAAAGTGTAAAATTCTATAAAAGCTTGAATGACATTAAAATATAATTGGTCATCTGGGCACTCAGACAATAATATAATAAGGTACATTCTGTCCTTATATGATTTGCATATTTGCAAAATCACCCATTTTGCTGCAATTTAGTGATAAACCAAAGATCAATTCTGGTATTTATGTGGTCATATTTGGATAAATGCAGTATCCCAACTACAGCTTTTGTTTCCAATCTTAGGCTATAAATAAAGCTCTCTGCATGGTGTGTTTGGTGCCACAATCATCACATTTTTTGATGATTTCACTGTTCAAAACACTCCCCAAGCATAATGTCTAGTGCTTCTAAACTTAAAGAAGGCTGGAAAATACCTTACAGATAAACTAGGGGTATCACATGAGCTTCAGTCATGTGTGACGGTGCTGCTGGCTGTGATTTTGTTGTTAATAAATCAGATCTATATGCTATGGGCCAGCACTCACTAGTACAATGTTTGCCATGATTTTATCAAACTTATCAATTGTGAATAGCAAGAAGCATGACTGCTAGCAAACATGCTGATTACATATACTTCATGTCAATTTATAAGGGAGACAATGTGATCGTCATCAGAAAGCAAGCAAAAGAAATACATAGGTTAAATGACAAGACAGGGACAAACAAATCACACATGTTAACATTAGTGAAAAACTCTTCCATGTTACTAACGATAAAAGAATTCAAGTTGGAGTAACAATGACAGGCAAGTGTTGTTGCCTATCATATTAGAAAAGATTTATGAACTGTGCTGGCCACAGTGCAATGATCTTATCATTCTTGTATACTACCAGTGGTTTAAATCAGCACCATGTCATAGGAAGTGGCTTGATAATCTCTGCAAAAACATGGATAAATCTTAGTACCTCATGACTGAGAAACTGAACTTCAAAGTATGTCTTCTGAGAAATAGATGTTCAGTTACAGATTTATACACCTTTAGTATAATGTTATCTGTAAAAGCTAAAATAGGAAAAATAGATGAGCCTTCGAAGAGGGGGAACAGATATACTATGGACTGAAACAAGATGAAAGCCTTATAAAATCATTAAATTATTTTCAAAGAACAGTTGATGACACGAAAAACATTTTAACTTCATTGAAATAAAGCAGATGTCATATAAGTTAAAAATTAAGTTACACTTACATCATATGCACTGAACTAGGTCAAGGCGAAAGTCAATCAGTTTCAGGGTAAAGCATACTCTAAGTTTAATTTAGTACACACGAGTTGAGGGAAGCTCCTAATGTGCTCCTCAATAGCCACCCACCTCATTTAGTTGGACATGCCTTGGGAGGTGGGATAATGAGTTGGAATGGGTAATGGAGTCTTACTGTACTGCACCAGACCAGGAAGAACAGACTCACCTTTGGCAATGCACAGAAAGGAAAAAGTTCATTCAGACTTCTGTGAAAACATGAAATGGCCCAGTTATTGGAAGAAGATGATTTTGGAGATGAGTCATAAAAGATATGTAGTATTTTAAGGTTGCAATGCAGGGTAAGTATTGACCTTCTTAGCCTCTAAGTGACAGTAATGCCACTCTACATTCTGAAGTCAATGATTTAAGAGGCATTAGAAGTGATTTTCCTTTGCAGTGTATATACCTGGAATTTCCTAGTACCTTCCTCTAGGGTTCAGGTAAGTTGTCATGTTCTAATGTTCTGATCTTGATTTCATTAGAGAAAAGACATAAAGAAATACTTCATGAATTGTACACCATCTGATGATCTACATGCATATGTTATGTGAAGAATGGATGAAGGGTGGTGGAAAGGAGATATCAGAGAGAAGATGAGAAAGAAACAAATATTTGTTGAGTACTAGTGAGCTCTAACAGTACTTAGGTCATTTGATTTTACCTAAGGTGCTTGAGGCCACTAGGTAGGCATTCATTCCAAATTCCAGTATTGCCTATGAGAATCAACATGGACCTGAAGGAGAGGGATAAAATTTGCAAATGGACAGTGGTTAGAAGTAGCTACACATGGAAATGTTTTTCAAACTAGCTACAGTGGAGGTACAGGGATTATTAATTGGCCTAACTCTAAGGCAAAGATAGCTAAGGAGAAAGTGACTTCACAGAACTGTATCAAAGTTGCAAGAAACAGGGGCTATGACTATACTCTTCAAACTGCAGACAATGGTACCAATTGGAGGGGTTTAGAAATTTGAACTTGGGCTCCCTGGCAGGATGGAAGAGGCTACTAAGAGAGATTTGGACTTAAGAAGAGTATATTGGATGAAAGGGCATTTCCTACTTTAACATTTCTGCACATACCTGTTCCCTCTGCTTATGGCATCTTTGGCCATGTTCTAAGTCAGTGACTAGAATGCTGCTATACCAGTATTTGTGAATGTATCCACCATCTCTAGAAGGCCACAGAAGAAACAGTGATGACACCCAGAGAGGAGACCCTGGCAGGAGTGGGGAGAGCACTTACTCCATTTGTACCTCTTGATCTTGCATTATACATGCTGCCTCCTTCCAAGAAGAAAACTATGAAACACACACACACACACACACACACACACACACACACACACACACACACACACACACACAG